CAAGCTTTCGTACAGAAAAGAAAGTCAAATATGCATCAAAATTATTAATGTCAAAATTTGACTTATTCAAAGTAATTAAAGACTAAAGAGAATGAGGTTTGCTTAGTGTGATAGAATCAATGTGAAGGCTTGGTTGTTGGCAATAATGCTTCAAATGTTGCACATTAACTTAATGTTCTTCCATCCACCATGTTCTTCAGTATCACAACTTCATGGGAAAAACTTCAAGCACTTCAAATGGCCCTGACCACTGAGATTATAGATTCCCAGGAAATAGCATCAAGAGAGAGATAAATAGAAAGACTTGTTGTCTAGCAATGAATTGTCGTGTAAGATATGTTTGTCATACCATTTCTTGCTATTATCTTTTTAGATTTAGGAACTCTCGTAAGCATCATTTCAGAGTGCTTCTAATTCATTAAGATCCAACATCTTTCCCCCCCCCCCTCCGCAACATTAAGATGAAAGTTCAATTTCTTCAAATCCCACATAGCCTTATGCTCCAACTCTACTGGTAAGTGGTCATTGGAGCAATCATGGTGAGCCCTTAAGTTGCGAAAGTCGTTTATTCTCATATCAACAAGCTTGGTAAGTTGTTACCGGGCATGAACCCGTATCCAACACTCACATCCTTGTAGACACCCGTTTTTTTCCATGTTCCTATTTATTATTAACAATTATTATTATTATTATTATTATTATTATTATTATTATTATTATTATTTTAACAATATACTTTACATTTTTGCATACCCAAATAGAGCCCAAAATACAAGACCCGTAGCCCACAATAAATACAACTCCAGCCCACCAGAAACTGGCCCCATTACAATGACCCATGAAAACACCCAACCCATACCCGGTTACACAAAATCAACCTGGTTCAAGCCCAAAACGAAGGCCCAAATAGTTGACCTAGAACCCAATTAGGGTTCTATCTCAAGCCATGCACCGCAGCCCCCTTAGTTGCACGATCTGGACCCATCCAATGATATAGATTAATAATATTTAGGGTTTTTAAAACCCTAATCCTAGAGAGATGTTACCACCACCACTGTTTATTGTTATTTCTTACGTCAACCACCTCTGACGCAGTCGTTTCAATCTACAGTGATAAGATATCAACATCAATAGTGAAAAAATGGTAGAAAAATCAGAAAAAATAAAAAATATCAACTTGCTAGCAGAAAAATCCCAAGGCAAATCTGGCCCTGTCATAAGCCAAAAATAGGGTAATCTACCCTATTTTCTCGGAAGCAACACAAACCATCAACAAATCCAACATGCATCACCATAAAAGAAAAGAAGGAGACCATTTTTTAGTGGGGGTTGAAACCAAAAAAATAGAGAGAAGACAAAAAAAGGACAATCGAACAAGAAAAAAAGAGAAAAAGCATCCAAAAAATATAACGAAGAGAGTATAAGACTTACCAGATACGAAGTTCATCGAAAGCAAGAAAAAGGGGTCACTGAACTAAGTGTTCGAAAGGTAAAACCTAGATTTAGGTTTCTAGTGTTGGTTTTAGACTAAAAAGAGTTAGGATTCTAGTTGGAGGGTTTGAAACGAGTGTTTGGGGAGATTTTTTGTTCCCTCCGACCGTCGTGAGCGACCGACAAACGCCATCGCGAACGACGATCCCTCTTTTCCCTGATGAGGGAGTTGAGAGAATTTGAGAATTCTTCTCTTCCATCTACTGATAAAACCAAACAAAATGAGGGGATGAGAGAAAAAACCTTGATTTTGGGCTTAAATACTCAAGGCAAAACGGTGTAGTTTCACACTCCTTCATCGTATTTTTAATTTTTAGGGGATAATATCATATTTGGTCCCTATTTCTTTGTAATCTCACTCGTTGGCCACTAAATGAGAATTTGTGTTATATCGTTTTGAGAATTTATCTTTCTATGTTTATATTTAAGTCATCAGTACATATATTATACTACATTTGCTTATTTTTGAATTTGACCCTGTGTTTTATGCATCTTTTGTTTTTGTCATTGTTTTGATGAAAATGCTTTTAGGTAGAATTGTTATTTTGCCCTTTCATGTTTCTAGTTTAATTTATTTTTATCCTCAATATTATTTATGGATTATTTTCATTCTTAGTGCCTTTATTACTTAGTATGTTCGATTGTGGTTTTTGTTTGTTTATAATTATTGCCCCCTCAAGTTTCTGTTGGTACCATTTTGGTCCCTTAAATCACCAAATATAATTATTTTTGTTATTTGTATGTTGATCTGTAATATTTTTTTATTTTATTCTAGTCATATGTATATTTTATTTTATATATTTCAAATTGTATTTGTTTTCATCATTTTTTCTTTACTTGTCGATGTTTTATTCGAATATTTTCAAGAACACCAATTCTTAGAATGGACGTGGAAAGCATTGCTTGATCGAAGTAGTGTGATCCGATACGACGTTCGAACGAAATGTGAACTTGAAATAAATCGAGTTTATTTTGCTAATTAATTCATTTTTTATTTCAAGTCAAATAATGCAATGCATGTTTCTCTAAATAGCAACTTATTTTATTTTGTGCAAATGTTGATGTACAATTTATTTTTGATTTGTCTTTTTTTTAAATCAATGAGGAAATATTCTTTTAGGAAAGAAATAAGAAGAGATAGACTTTCCGTCAGAGGATGAGAAAATCTCGATATTTCTTTTCGAATTAAAGAATTTTTCTTAATAAATAATTCGAAGAAAATTAATTAAATTTTAATAAATGGATCATATTTTAACTTTATATTCCAATTTCCAGCATTACGACAACATGTAAGCGACTAAGTACCAATTTTGGGCGCTGCGGGAGTGCATATCCTTCCCCACGCGTAATCGACTTCCGAATCCTTAAAAATGAATTTTTGGATAATGCATACCAATTTTTGTCTTAAAAAACGATTTTTCTTAAAAAAATTTAAAATACGTTTTTAGGTATTCAACCTACCTAACCCAAAGGTCGATGGCGACTCCCATTCAATTTATTTCAAATTAATTCAAAATCGACAATTTTCAAATAAAAAGTCATAATATTTTTTTAAACATAATTGTTTTTTTAAAAAAATGTTTATGACAATCCTCATATCAGTGACAAAGAGTACGCAATTGTCTAATTTGACTCTTTTTTCAGGTACTTTCTCTCATGGATTCACGTACACCGGGCACCCGGTAGCCTGCGCCATCGCAAGTGAATCGATCAAGCTCTACAAGTGTGTTCCATCCTCTATCGAAACAGAAAATATCGAAATAATTTCGAATCTTTCGGAATAGTTAAATAAACATGTCCGTAAGAACATCATTGCAGGGAAAGGAATCTTGTTGAGAAGGTGAAGAGGATATCCCCAAGGTTTCAAGATGGTTTAAAAGCATTTTCAGACAGCCCTATTGTTGGAGAGGTGAAATTCTGCATTTCACATAAACTTTTACTAAGAATGCTTCGAACTTCGAGTCGTAATCATCGTTCGGTTATGCAGATCCGAGGTACCAGCATGATTCTGAGTACGGAGTTTACAGACAAGTCACCTACTGATCCTTTCCCTCCTGAATGTGGCAAGTTCTTCTATCTCCCTCACTCATATAGATACAATTGAGTGTGTTCCAAGCCATTTGGTGAAGTCGGATGGGGTCGGACTTGAGATTTTGAGACGCTCTCCGATAACAAATGACTGATGATTTTGAGTACAGGACTTGGTGCATATTTTGGGGCACAGTGTAAGAAGCATGGCATGGTAGTACGTGTTGCAGGTGACACCATAATGATGGCTCCACCATTTATAATATCTCCTCAAGAGGTTGATGAGGGAAGTTTAAGGTTCTTGCTTCTATCTAGGCAATTAAGTCGGTCGGTTCTGATAAACGACCGGAAAAGTCGACTTAAATAAAGGAAATTGCATTAACCGAATCTTATTGGTTTGCACAGTTAATCAGCATATATGGGAAAGCATTGAAGGCTACCGAGGAGAAGGTGAGGGAACCCAAGTCAAAGCACAAGAAATAGTGATGAGTTTTCTTTGTTGGTGATAATGCTGAAAATTATGTAAGCCTTCATCATTGGGGTTTCAATAAAATTGTTCATTCTTCTTATTTCTCACTTATTTGCTGCCTTAAGAAACGCTTACTTTAATTTTTATTTCTTTTACACCATTGTTATAATTTTTCATTATAAGAATTCGGATTTAAAGTAGGATATGGGTATTAAAAAATCATTGTATGTTTAAGAACCGCTTATTTGATATTTAAATTTGAACGTGAATATGCACGAATCAATTTATCTTAGTGGTGAAAGGAAACGATGTTGTTCTTAGAATTGATGGGTTTTTAATAAAAATAATTTTGGACGTATATAATATAAATGTAAATAATATAAACGTATATATTTATGTAAAATGTACCAAAAAAATATTTATGTAAAATGTACCAAAAAAATAATATTTTAACATTATTATAAGTTATATTGTGAACCATATCAAATGAAATTTGAGTCATAATATTTAACAAATGTCCTTCATTTAATTTAAATGAAACTGCTACTATCAGTCCAGATAATTTATAATCAAATTGTGTTAATTTTTTAATCAAATAAAACCTTCTCGTACCAAATAATCAACCGGTCGTTCATGGAATACTCAACAAGAATAGGACAAATAGTTTTCTATTTCTCTTCTTTTTCTTCACTTCTTTATTTAATTTTATTATTTAATATCTACGATTATTAGTGATTATAACTATGAACGGTAATCAAATGAGATTCAGGTAATTGTGATTAACTGTGGATGATAAGAGAACTGCCGATAATCAAACATGGAAGAATTAAACAGTATAATATGCTTAAAAGTTACGACAGAAATAACAGCCAATCAGATCTCAGTTATTCAACTTCAGTTTACCATCAAAATATGAAACCTCAATGATGATTCAAAAGTAGCAAAATCAGGGATTTAAATGATAAGTATAAAGCAGCCAAAGAAGTGCAATCACATGAAGTTCGAACAGAAATGAGCAAATCACGTTATGTCATCCAAAAAGATTCAGATCCGATCTCAAAATCCATAATGTTTTAATATTATATAGAGATTGATCCAAACACTTAAAATCTAAGCTTCGTAAAGAACCACCTGTTTTTTCCAGTCTTGAACCTCTCTTCGAACCTCTGTTTGGTGGCCTTGCACGCAGCCACTTTCTTATCCTTCGTCTGAAGCGCATCGACGGAGACCGCGTCTTTCAAGTCCACGTCGAGGGTGTAGCGCGTGGGCATCAGGTGCTGATAATTCACGAGCTTGACGAAGCACTTGACGCGCAATTTCTTGGCAGTTTTCTTGGCGGAGTCCTTGCGGATGACCTTGCTCGGGTACTTTTTTATCCCTGCAACCAAACAGTGGCCGTAGGGGCGGTCACGTGTGCCTTCGTCTAAGGATCGTACGATCACGGCTTTGCGACCGGCGTATCGGCCCTGAAGGACGATGACGGCTTTGTTGGGCTTTAGAAACTTCACCATGGCGACGGCGGCTTTTGATTCACTCCTCGCGCAGAACGCTAACTCCAGAAAGGGGGAAATAGTTGGAAATGAGGCGTATATAGTATTAGTTTAGTGAAACCCTAGCACATTTGCTTTTGATTGTGTGATTTTATGGGCTTGGGCCTTGTAAGCACCATGCTTCATTGGACTTTGTTAGTTTATTCTATTTAAGTGAGAGATTATTACAAATGTTTATTGTTTATTGTCAATATTAAGTATTTAGATATATATTATTTTGTGACTTTAATGATAAAATATAATATCAAAAAAATTGAATCCATCAATTGAATTTAATGATAAAATAAAATCTTGACCTCTTTAAAAGTTTTGATTTTGAGTAGTAGTGTGTGCGTTGTCAATAAGTTAAAAAAAGCTCTGAACAATTAATATATTATAATCAACACATACTATTAAAAAAAAGAATAACAATTACCGGTAAAATGAATGTTGTTTCCGTTTGATTTGAATTAGAGCAACTTTTATTTGTAAGTGTATAAATTTATCCATATTTAAAATTCGACAAATATTACCTTGTAATTATATTATAATATTTATAACAAAATTTCTAATTACAATCTAATGTTTAATTTTTTTCTATCACCTAACATTAGTTTTTTAACGACAATACCAAAATGTTGTCTTCTGAATAATTTATTTTTGAATTTAACCTAATATCCACCTTTTTTTATGGTTGACATTCTTCTCCATTGTAATTCATGAATTGTTAGTCATTGCTTACAACGTAACTAATGCAAAACGTTCTCAATTCTCATATTTTCTTCTTTTTAGTTTAATTTTTCGTAGAATAAAACAAATTAAATTAAAACTTCAATCTTATCATGATATATCTTGATTGTCTGATCATTGTTAAATTGTAATATATTATTTTTTTCTCGTTCTTGATCTTTTTATAATTTAGATCTAAAAGAAAAATACTCTAATACCAATGAATCAAAGAAAGTTTAAAAATTTATATGTGAGAGGAAAGTTTCAACGACTTTTGTATAAGTTTATCAAAAAAAAATTAATTTTAAAAGTGTTAAACTATGTTTCGATATAACAATTTAAGGCAAAATGATTTTTGGACTTGAATTGAATTTACAAAATGGTTTTTGGACTTGAATTGAATTTACAAAATGTTTTTGGACTTAATTGAATTTATTCAAAATTTACAAAAATAATTCAAAGTTCTTTTAATTTAAAATTGAGCACAAAAATGTTTTTATGAATAGTAATTTACTATTTGAATATTATGAAGGGGTATCGATTCCCTATGAAGGGGTACCGATTCCCCCCATTCTGGGCAACATTTTTGAGTAGAAAAATCATTCCCAAACGACTCCAAAACATCCCCAACGGCTATATATGACTTCAAACTCATTCCAAGCTATAAATACAAGCTAAGGACACTTGAAGAAGAAAGAGAACAACTATCCAAGCAATCAAACACAAGAGAAGAATTTTTCATTCTTATTTCATCTTTCTCTTGTATATATTTTGTTCTTGTGAGCTCAATCTTGTAAACACCTACCTTAGAGAGGTTTTCTTGTTTACTTATTTTATCCTTTTGTAAAGGGGAAAGGTTCTAGCTTATCCCGTGTAAAAGCTAGGGAAAGGTTCTAGTTTAGCCCGGAAAAACTAGGGAGTTTGTAAGGTTACTCTTTATCCTCAAAAGAAAGAACAAATTAGTGAATTTGTTGGAAAATCCTTGGTGAGGAGCTAAGGTAGTGGACGTAGACTTTGTTTGAGAAAGTCAAACCACTATAAATCGCTGTGCAATTCTCTATCTTTCAATCTCCTTACTCCCTAAACACAAAACCGTTCCGACCCCTCTTTGCAAATCGTTTCGGCTGTCGTTTCGAGCTTCCGAAAATCCCAACAAAAAGTTTGGTGACAAAACCAAGTACTCTAAAAGCTATGTAACCAAAACAAAAATAAAGTGAAAGATGAATGATTAAATTTGGGAGTTTACCATAAAAAAATACTACTTACATAAATAAACTTGGGGGAAAAGTAGAGGCTTAAATATACAAAAGATGTCTAACATATGTTCGTTTTTTCAGTTTAGTGTCTAATATTTTTTCTGTTCTAGTTTGGTGCTTTCATTCTGTTACTCAAAATGGGTCAAGCCGTGACGGACCGTTAGTTTTCTCCGTTAAGTGACACGTGTCACAATCTGGTAATTTAAAAAAATTATTTAAAATTAAAAAACTAAAATTATATATATTTTTAAAAAGAAACACAAACATTTTGAAATAACCCAAAACTTTAAAAACCTTCATTTCAACCCCTAACCTCTAAACCGTTCAGTCTCCCCTCTTCCAAGCTCGTCCGCTCGGCAACGGTGGCCTACCAAACTGGTTGGGTTTTGGTCGGACGGGACCGGCAAGCTTAACTTCGATGGCGGTGAGGCCAGAAATATAAAAAATCCAACGATGATGGGGGCTTTTCGTCGTACTTTCAAACGCCAGTCCACCACGAATGACGGCGAATGGAGGCGAGTGGATGACTGGGCTATAACCAGTCTGGGATGGCGCTTCAACTAGGCTAGGCTGTAATGACTTCCGACGAGCGGTGGTCGAGGTTGGAGGTGGGCGACCAATTGGTTTCCTTACGATTAAGCTCGACGGTAACCGATTTCGGATGATCTGAGGGTCAGGTTGAGGTCTCAGGTTACTGCTGAGTTCGGTGGAAGCGGTGGTGTACACCTCCGCTAGTCGGAGATGAGTGGTTCGATGACAGGGTTAAAGGTTAATGTTTAAATGAAGGTTTTTAAAGTTTTAGGGTTATTTCAAAATTTGTGTTTGTGTGTGTGTTTTTTTTTAAAATATATAATTTTATTTTTTTAATTTTAAATAAAATTTTAAAATTATCAAATTGTGACATGTGTCACTTAACGGAGAAAACTAACGGTCCGTCACGACGTGACCCACTTTAAGTAATTGAATGAAACATTAAGAATCAAACGAAAAAAAAAACATTAAATACTAAATTGGAAAAATGGGCATACATTAGATACATTTTATATATTTAAGCCAAAATTTGTGGGTCTAGTCCCTACCGCTAGTCCAAGCGGACAAGTTAACAGCTCTACTTAATTTAAAAGATGGTAACAAAAAACCAAGAAACGGTATATTTCTCCAGCTGAAGATCAAACCTTTCCCTCGGATTTGATCCCTCATGGCTTCCAATGGCGCTTCTACCGTAATTCCTTTTCTTCTTTCTCTTATACTAATTGTAATTGGAGTCGATTCTTTCTGATTCTCTTTTATTTTGGGAAAAAAGGAAGAGGAAGTTAGGGATACGACGGAGAACAGTTTAGAGAAGATCAAACATCAGGTGGCCTCGGGCCCCGGGAGGAATTTGCTACAAGGTCCTCTTCTCAAGCGATATGAGACCGTACGATACTCTAGTCCCTCCCTTTCTCTCTCGTTAATTTTGCAATTTTCATTTGCTGTGCTGATTCCAGCTAATTCTTGATTTTATTTTTTATCAGTTATACTTTCACAAAATTTTATTTTTTAAGATAAATTTTCAAGCAATTTGGTAATTTAGTTAACGTGCTGTACATTGGTTTAACAGTTGAGGAAATGGAAGGTTGGGTTATTTAGATCCCACATGGAATACAAGTTAATTTGTAGGTCCTTTTGTTTGTTTTCTTCAGAAGATTGAAATTACACTAGAGATTCTGTTGTTTGCTTGTTTTAGGACTAGGAGGAATGATCCCAGTACTAAGGGAATCGTGACCTTCAATGAGAACAACACCATTGCCATATGCCCTGTTAACTTTCTGTAAGGGGCTGTTTGTTTCCTTCATAATTATTAAGCGCCGAATGATTCAAATGCTGAATGATTCAGAGGATCTGTATGAATTAGTTCTGAATGTGACATGTTGTTTGATAATGTCTCTGAATCATTCAGAATGTACTTTGATGCTAAATCATTCAGAATGTACTTTGATGCTGAATCATTCAACACTGTTTTGCTGAATCAGTCAGCACTGAATCATTCAACACTGTTTTGCTGAATCAGTCAGCACTGAATCATTCAGAGGTGAAAAACAAACACGCTGAATGTTGAACGGTTCAACATGCAACACTGAATGATTCCATTCAGAGCCAAACAAACAACCCCTAAGATGATTTTCTTATTTCTCATTTGGTCGATTGTTGCACTGAGTCCCCTTTTAGCTTGTTATTAATATTATATTTATTTTTTTACATATATTTGCTGCAGTGGACTCCCAAAGTATGAAGGCTGCTGTTTCTGTATCCAAATGATTTGTGAAAGATTAATTTCTTTTTTTAGGGTTTTCTTTATTATGGTATGCTTGGTTTGCGTGCTTTTGGCGCCTTCGAATCAGGGCGCGGAGCAAAACACCTTTGAAGAGGTAAGTGCAGCGCAATACAGGAAGCCCTCCAAGGACGTGCGCTTTGGGGGGCTTTCCTGATAGGCGCCAAGAGCGCTTCTTTCGCCTTAGGGATAAGAGATAAAGTTTACTTTCTCCTCAATCGTTTGGATCTTCCACTGCTTGCCTCTATTGAAAATTTTAGCTGTTGACTAGAGAATAAATGAAAATAGAAGCTCAAAGATTCCAGAGGCTAAAAAAGTAATGGTATATAAAATGACTTTTGAGATGATACAATGAATATTATCTATAGCTGTTACCAAGGTAATTAATGGTAGAGTCGTTTTATATTAAATGACCTTTGAGATGATACAATGAATCTCATCTACTGCTGTTACCAAGGCAATTAAATTAATAGTAGAGTTAGCAGCACATTCTTCAAGTAAAAAATGCATGAATCCAATTGGATGTGGAAGAGTTAAATGAACGGTGGCTGCAAACACAATTAGGTTTAGCAAAACTAGCATATAAAGTAGAAAAATGTAGGCCATTAGATGATTTTTGGCTCTAAACCAATTAAGCTTTTATGTATTCCCCAACATAGCCTAGCAGATCAATACAAGGAATTTGATCTATCATGGACTGACTGGGCTTCACCGTTTCAAACAAACTAACAACTTAGGCTAGCTTGCAACAA